TTTACCTAACACAAAAGCTACTAATTACAACAGTAAAGAGTAATTAATTTGACTCTATTATAGTCAGAAACTTCTGCACATCAAATGACATCATTAAGACCATGAAAAAAGCAGCACAATTGGAGGGAGAAAATATCAGCTATAGGTAAGTAGGTAGATGATAGATACGTAGGTAAATAGAACAAAGAATTTTTGTCTACAATACATAAACAATAAACCATTAAGAAAATCAACTAAATAGAAAAGATGCAAAAAGCCTTAAACAAGTACTTCACACATACACAAAAATCCAAATGACCAATACATAATACTAGGTGCTCAACCTTCCTGGTCATCAGGGAAATGTAAATTAAAACCACAAAGAGAGCAATACATATCCCAGGATTAGCTAAACAGGAAGAAGTCTATCGATACCAAGTATTGGCAAGAATACAGTGCAACAGGAACACTGACACAATGCCTGTAGGAAGAGCAACCAATACAACTGCTTAGGCATTATCTGGCATTATTTACTAAATCTGAAGATGTAACATCCTATGATTCATTAATTCTACTTCTACATACATAGAGATACATATACTAATATATACCTGTATACATGTATAAGATAGCATTCTTTGTAAATGGCCCAAACAAAAACAACTCTCAAGTCCATCAACAACAAAGATGGGGTGATTCATTAAACAGAATACTATACAACAATAAAAAGGAATCAACTATAGCCATATACAACAATACAGATGAATCGTAACACTGAGCCAAAGACAAGAACAAAACATTACATAACGCAGAAGTACATTTATATCAGTTCAAAACAAGAGACATATAAATTATAAATACTTAGGCATCAAAACAATGAAGAAAAACAGGAAGATGATTCCCATAAATATCAGAATATTGACTACCTAATGGGCAAGAAGGCTATCATCTGAAAAGAGTAGGCAGGGAGCTTCAGTGGTCCGAGTAATACCCTATTGTTTCACCAGGATGCTGGTTACATGGATTGTCACTCTACTATAAATCTTTAAACTGTAAATTTGTTTTATGAAAAATATAATTTATTCAAATATTCAAAATAGAATTCTGAACAAAACCAAAAGGAAACCAAGACCCATCAAAACTGTCCTATTAACAGTGAATTCAACAGGTACCACAAATGTCTAGAAGTACATTTTAAAATTAAATCAAATGAAATATAAGGCAATTGCTCAAATGCTGATACAAATCTGCACAGATGAGACTGGCTTTTACATGGAACCCACGGCCCTTTTGTTCAATCTGACCATCAAGAAAGAATAACATGTTCATTTAAATACATGTATTTATTAAGTGCTGTGGTAGGCACAATCTAAGACAGCCTCCAAAGATACCCTCCTCTTAGCACATCCTAGCACATTCCCTTTCTTTGTGTGGGCTGGACCCAATGATTTGCTTCTAATGGAGATGACAGCACACGTGTTTAGGTAAAACTTTCAAGATTAAGTTACAAAAAGCATGTAATAGCATCTTCAAAACCCTCTCTTGCTTTCTCACTTGCTTTCTATGAGGGGGAGTCAGCTGCCATGTAATAAGCTATCCTATGGAGAAGCTCATGTGGCAAGAATTTGGTATCTCTTTCCAACAGCCAATGAGTGAGCTGGGAAGGGTTCCTAATCCAGTTAAATCTTAGAATAACTGCTGCCCTTTCTAACACCTGGATTGTAACTTGGTTAGAAGCCCTGAGCCAAGGCACTCAGTTACTCTCTGCACCAAGATTCCTGACCAGAGATAGTAATTGTTTGATGTTTTTAAGCCATTAAGTGTGAGGGTAACTTGTTACACAACAACAGGTAACTAATGCAAACGCCTACTATGTGCCTTGTGCATTCCCTTCTCTTAACACTCAAAAGAGTCAGTAGGGAAAAATAAATTTTAAAAATAAATAAATGTAGGATTCTAACAGCTCTAAAATACTAGCAAGTGTGACATTAGAACAAGTAAGTATGTTAAATCTGAAAAGCAGATTCAACTTCTTTGATTGGTATATACCAGTGCCTAAACCAAGACTCATCGTTAACTCCAGTTAAAAGCATGAAATCACAAAGTTAATCTTCTAAGTCTGAATATTAATCTTAGGAAAATAAATTCAAAACTAGTAGTTGGCCTCCTGCTCAATCTTGCTTGAATAAGTTCAAGTATAAATTATACTACAGGAGATAAGACCTTTAACACCTAAATTCATTTTGAAGATTAAATCCACAAATATACTTTATAGTATATGCAAAAAAAAACCACCACTCACTTCATTCTGTCTGAACTAAATCATGAGGTATTAATCCATGATATTTTCTAACGTTTCCTACGATTACAAATCACTAGTGTGCCTGACTCCAATCATGGAGAAATTTATGAAATTTAATAATTAAGTTTTTAAGTCTGTTAATTCAGCTCCAAATTTTCAAAGTTTTAAAACTTTGTTAAGCTAGCTCCTCAGGGTCCCTTGTGTAATTAAACCTGAAATACTCAAAATCACTCAATTATGGATATAATAAAAAAACAAGAAAACCGAAATGTTTAGTAACAGCATAATCACTGCACATAAGAGGCACCAATATCCAGAAATACCTGGAACTAGTATGTTGCTTGGTTAAACTGCCTACCGTAAGAAAATACGATCCAAGAGAAAAAAATCACTCACAAGGATCACATAAGATTCACTTAAACTCAAGCTGAAAACTTCTACAGCATAATTAACCCAGACATTTAACAACAAAAAATATAGAAACACTGATAATAATGAGCTATGTGTCAAAGGCAATATCATAGGAGGAGCTATTGGAAGCCACCAGCCACCACACCAGGGAGAGGACAAATTAGTATGACAAGGAAGAGTTACTGTTGGCAAACAATTCTTCATTGATCACTCCCAATTCTGCACATCTTGTGATAGCTTTTGCTCCAAACTATCTTTTCAAGGATGTTTCTATAGTGAACACCCTGGCAAGACAAATAGTGACTTCCTCCAGGACAAAGGGCAGATTTGTTTTCTGTCAATAAAATAAAAATAGCATCTCCCTGAGGGCAAAGACTGAAAAGGTTTGCTAGCAGACCCTTTTAAAAGACTGGTTTTCTAAGCTCAAGTTTCCTTAGTTGTAACACACATCCACTGCACATGCAGAATCTACCTGGCCCATGTCTACACCGTCCCTGCAGGACTTACAGGTCATGAAGCTGATGCTACCAGATGTTCCATGAGTAATCAAGACTTTTATCTCCAGCCCAGGAGTCTTCCACCAGCAACTAGGAAACTGTGGCAGGCTAACTTGTCAGCTTGCTATTAGAGTAAAAATCTCAGCACCTGCACAGTTATTTTTACAGTTATACACTGTATCTTTATTACCTGAGACAATTTCAAATCTAAATACGTTGCAAGCATGAATAGACACTAAAGAAGTGTGAAAAACCTCAGAGGCTAATAAAAACCTTGAATAATTCAGGTCATAATAATGATCAGCCATTTCATTTAACCCCCAGATATCCTCATGTCTGGACTGTTCACTTAATTGATTCATTGTCAGGTAATTTCCTATGTACTAAATCTCACTCAATGAGTTCACAGTCTAAGGGAGAAGTAACCATGTAAAACTACTGCAAAATAATTTCAAATTTTGTTTTAAAAGGGGAGAGGGTATGTATGCAATAAAACTTATCACTCTTCCAAAGAATTTACTATAGCAAAAACTGCTGAGTGTACATATTGAATGAATAATTTTATTTCCAAATATTATAAAATGTTCAGCTTTATTACTCAAAGTGTGATCCAAGGACCAAGAGCATCATCGTCTGGAGCTTGTTAGAAATGCAGATTATCAGGGTCTAGCACACAACCTCTCAGTCAGAACTTGGATTCTAAGAAGATCCTCAGGTTATTCTCATGCAAATTGAAGTTTAAGATAAAGTACCCACCAAAAAAATAAATAAAATTAAAAATCAAGAACAAATAAACCTTAAATTTATAATTAAGATTATTTTAATAGATATATTAAAACCACAACTGTTACCTCAGCAAAAGTTAAAGATAAGAAAAATACAATCATAAATCATGTAAAAGATATTTAGCTATCAATACTTGCATAACACAGAAAAATCCAACCTGAACAAAGTAAGAAAAAGTTAAAATAAGACATGAATAGTCCAAAAAGGAAGAGAATATCAAACTAAGATAATGTAGGGTTCTGGCAATGCACATTTTAAGTGCTCCATCAGAATAAGTTCTCATCTTTTTATTTTCAAAAATAATAAAGATGGCCTGGAACCTAATACATAATATATTTTTTTGAGTAAAAAAATCCCAATTAGATAACTGAAAGTAAAAATATAAGCAATTTGAGACAGTTAGAAATTTAAATATAAAACAGCTTTCAAAGTTAAGCATGCTACCATGAACACAGGATTTTGCCTTTAGTTTTCCTATATTTTGTACAATTCTGAAATGACTGAGGAATCTTATAAATGTTAAATTCGGACATTCGGGTTATAAAATTACTAATAAAAAATTATCTTTTAGCTATCTCACGTGACTTACACTTTCCAAGCTCTAAATAGGTAGCTATGTTTTACCCACCAGCATGCGTCTTTATCATAGGAAAAACTGTAACCGTTTCTACATAAGATTTCATTATATAAATTTTCCTAAGTTTTCTTTTCAATGTGAAAGTTAGGCTTTTATTTGATCATTCTATTTTCTAATCTTTATAGTTTTGAATTAAGCTATTACATTCAATCTTACAGAAAACTTTTTAGCATTATCTCTAAAAAGGGATTTTCAAAATATCAAGTTGTAAAAGTAAAAAAAGCTAAAATAACAAAGCTCTAAAAAAAAAACTCCTGAAAACTCAAATGCTTTCAAATGTTTAAATAAAATTTTTAGCCTGAAATGCTTTTAAAAAAATAGGGGAAAAAAATGGGAATGGTCAACAATATTTAATGAAACATTACGTAAAATACACAAAATAATATACCTCTCTCTTATTTCTTCTTGCAACCTTGAGGAATTCCATAAGGATCTGTAGTTGGGCTGCATGTGATTCCTATAATAGAAAATTATAATTGTTCTTTTAAAAATATAACTATGAGTTCAAAGTTTTCTTTAACACCACAGTATAATCAGTATGAAGCAATTTTATTTATCCATTCAAGTTAGTTTCTTATTTTTATTTAATCAGTTTTCCATTTGTTAATCGGCATTTTTAAAAGCAAGCCATTTTCCCCAAAACTAACTTTAAAAAAAACCAGGTATTTTAAGTTCATCCCTCACCTACCATGCTAAAAAACTATTTATGGAAAATGGCAATTCTGTTACCTGTCCTGGCTTTCTCTTCCCCAACCAAACTAATAAAACATCAAGAAAAAAAAAATCATACTGGAGTCAGCATAGTTTCTAGATGCTGAAATCACTTTCTCCTTAAGTATTTCACATTCAGGGGAGTAAAAATCATATAATTAGGAAGAAATTCATACTTTTCAGAAGTCAAATTTACTATTTCTGGCCATAGCCTACTCACACAGATGAGAGAATATATTTCTATGAAATATTTCAGTCAAAATCAAAAATTTTAAAACAAAATTTTAATATAATCAAGAGGAAGGAGGGGTAAATAACACACATTGGTAACTGAAAGATGTAATTGATAAATAAGCCTGACATCTTCTGAATATCAAAAAATAATTACAAATAGTAAAGTTAGAAATAAATATATATTACTGTTAAAATTCACACAAAGAACCAAGGAATTCCAGCTGAGCCTGATAAATATATATAAAAATACCAAAAGTTAAAAATGAAATAACAATAAGAGATGGTTTATGAACAAATACAGTTCTAACTTTTTAATATATACCTGAAAATAATTTTTTAAAAGTCCAGTGGGGCACATCCAAAACAAATAAATAAGATTTATAAAGCTTTCATTTACCTGGCTATACAACAGAATTATCTGAGGCATCTGTTACAAGACACTGGATTTTATCTGATTCTTTTCCTCTAGAAAAGATTCCAGGAAACTATATGTTTAACAAGTCCCCAGATGATAAGAATAAGCCAATCTAAATTTGAAGAATCACTAAGATATTCCATACACTACAAAAAAGCATGGCTACTTCACACTCACTCCCAGAGTCTATCCCATTTGGGGAGAGGGTGGGAATTCTTGCGTTTTAAAGAATAAGAGGCAAAATAGATAAATGAAATGTTTAAGTCAAGACAAATAAGGACAAAGGAGGACAAATACGAACTGGTAATCACATTAGGATATTCCAGTTAACAAACACAATTGAATTAATGTTTCACAAACGAATAAATTTGTAAAACAGGGTATCTATCATAAGGATTTTAAAGTGAAATTTTTTCTTGCATTAAAAACCCAGTATTTACCGGACCTGAGACACATTCCTGAGAAGTTAGTTAAATTGTCATACAGAACAAACTCACAGAGGGAATCTGTGTCCCAACCACAATGATAAACTATCCCAAAATCCTCAGCATTTTTCTTGGGACTTTTGTTCTTTACACTGTTTGTATCTGTCTATACATTATTTGGCCAGAGAGCAAAAACCACATCTTTATATAAAAAGGACATACACGGTCAAGACTGTTAATAAATAACACTTCATCTGCAAAGGAAGTGGACAAACTATCCTCAAAATACCAAGTTTGAACATTCCATTTCACTCTACCAGTAAGGACTTGTGAACAGGGTAAGAATGCAACTGATTTGAGAAAGGAGAGAACCCTTCCCAAAGCCTCAAGGTCAAAGGAAAGTTGGGAACAACTAAGTACACTAGGAATTCAGCACATGCACATTCTTCTGCAATTTAATCTTCTTCAAATGAATAACTTCAAAAAAGAGGTAAATGGCAAATTTATGAAACTATAATTTCACATATAAATATGAAAGAAAATTATATGAAGGAAATTATGGAGGAGTAAAAAGAGAATGCTTAAATATGGGAAGGGTGCAGCCAAATATGTCAAAATAAGATCTGGTCACATAATGTTTTTTGTTAGAGCAGTCTCAGAAGTCGAACATTAAAGTAATCTCCGAATCTCATTTAACCCACTACTAAAAATGGAAGTTCAAGAAGTTCATTCTCGAAACATTTCTTACAATTGTAAAGCTTCTGTAAAAACATACAATGATCATTTAGCCCAATTATCACACTTTCAGATAAGAAAACTGGAGTAAGAGAAAAAGTGAAAAGAAACTTATTTAGAAAAAAAGAAAAAACATAGAATTTTATACTCCACTCTCAGTGCTCTTTGCAATATAGCAAGTTTTGTCACATTTGTCCCATCTAGTTCATAGTCAACTGTCTCAAAAGAGAGCATATCTGGGGAACTGCCAAGACGGAGGAATAGAAGGATGCATAGCTCATCCTCTCCCATGAATACACGAACAATTATACCTACAGACTAAACAATTCACACAGAACACCTACAGAACTTTGACAGAGTATCTCTTTAGAAATACAAGAAGATTCCGCACAAAAACAGGTAGGAGGGAGAAAAAAAAGAAATAAAAAGGAAATCGGTGCAGAACCTGTCCCACGGGGAGGGAGCAGCAAAGGAGGAAAAGCACCTTCACACTGGGAGCCCCCACTCTCCAGCAAAGAGTCAGCAGGGACAGAGGGGGAACTTCCAAGGGCTGGAGGAGAAAGCAGACAGAACTGAGAGAAAGCAGCACAGAGGGTAACTGCAATCCCGAGCCCAAGACGCAAGCTGGCAAGGGCAGGCCAGGCCTGGCTGCTGGACTCCGGCTCCCGCGGACGAACCTCGGGGGAGTCCTGGCGCTGACTGCACAGAGCAAGCGTCAGGGGCTGGAGCGTGGTGCGGGCTGTGGCTGGCAGTGTGCAGAACAGAACAGCCTAGCAGCCCCATAAAAAAGCACCACTGCTGGGCACATGGCAGGGAGGGGCGCAATGCAGCCGGGCCGCAACCGCCACCTCTGAGAGCCCAGGCTCACTACTTGGCACAACTGTTGGCGTGCGTTACCGCAAAAAGAGGGGTAGGATTCAGACACAGGAATCGTCTCAGCTTGGGACACAATCCCTGTTGCACAGCTCCTGGGCAGAGGCAGGGCTGAACCTGAAACCATCCCCCTGGGTCCCTCAAAGTCACAAAAGGGACTGAGATTGGATGCTAGCCCCAGGCAGCAGCGGCGGATTTTCTCCCCTGGTGCCCCTGTGGACCCAGCCTCTATGAGGAACAACCAGTGATCTGGCACGTGGTGGGGGTGGACTCGGCATTAACACAGGCCTGTGTACCTTGTGCGAGCACAGGGCTGGCGGCTGCGCTAACCTTGTGGCGCACTGTGAACCCAGGTGTGTGACTCCACACTGACCGCAGTGGGTCCTAGCACCAGGCATCAGCAGATCTGCTCTGCTGGCGCAGCGGGCGCAGAACCAGGGGGACACCAGAGCAGGTGGCCAACATTCCTGTGGCCGAGTTGGGGACAAGGGCAGCATCAACAAAGTGTACTTTGTAAGCCCACATGACAAGTGAGACAACAGCACAGAGGGCACTTCACCATGGACATCTCCTACAGAGGAATACTCAGCAGCTCCGCTTCCAGCTGAAGCACCTCAATCCCGCCTACCACACACCACAGCTCAGAAATGGGTCAGGAAACCTCTATTCCAACAACAGGGCTGCAGACCCAGCTGTCAGGGCTGTGACAACAACAGAACAAGAAGGAGGTCCTGCTCAACAACCAGCGCAGGCTCTGATCACACCAACCACACCCCTAGTCAAAGGCGGAACAGCCAACACACACGGAAGACGTGGCAACCATCCACACTAAAAACAGACCTCGTAACAAAAATTATTATTATTATTACTATTATTATTATTATTAATAAAACTGAAAAAGAAAACAAAAGAATTCAGAAGCACTTAAACATCCATCAGTAGGGGAATAGATTTGTTCATGCAACGAATTACTATAGAGAACTTAAAATAAACTAGATCTATATTCATCAGCAGGAACTTCAAAAAGTAAGTAAAAAGGCATTATCTCAAAAGGATAACTATAGTATAAAACTCCTTATAAAAACTTCCAAATTATAAGACAACACTTTTCATATGGTTGTAAATGCAAGTGTATGTAAAAAAGGCACATACACACTTGAGAAGGATCCTTGCCAACTTCATACAGTGCTTACTCTGGGAGAATGGAATGAGACAAGAGGGCTTTAAGTATAAAAAATATTCAATAATGATGATGGCCATTCTGGCTGATGTGAGGTGATATCTCATTGTAGTCTTGATCTGCATTTCTCTGACAATTAGCAATGCTAAGCATTTTTTCATGTGCCTATTGGCCACTAGTTTGGTGCAGCTGCTATGGAAAACAGTATTTCTTAAAAAACTGAAAATAGACTTACCATGTGATCCAGCAATCCCACTCCTGGGCATATATCCGGAAAAAAATAAAATTCAAAAAGACACACGCACCCCAATGTTCACAGCAGCACTATTTACCATAGCCAAGACATGGAAACAACCCAAATGTCCATCGATAGATGACTGCATAAAGATGTGGTACATATATACAATGGAACACTACTCAGTCATAAAAAAGAATAAAATAATGCCATTTGCAGCAATATGGATAGACCTGAAGATTGTCATTCTAAGTGAAGTGGGCCAGAAAGAGAAAGAAAAATGCCATATGATATCATTTACATGAAGAATCTAAAAAATAATAATAAAAAAAGGACACAAATGAACTAATTATTTTGATTTCTTGAATATGTGTAAGCACATCTGAATGTCCTTTATGACTGGATAACCACATGCTGCTGATTCTTATTTTGTAGTTGGCTTTATTCCTTTGATAACTATGTAAGTTTAACAAGCTAAAGCTCTAATCTGTTCTTAGAAACAATAATTAGTACACATATGTAAACTAAAAAATGTGCAATCTACTGTATGTATGTATTTACATGCAATATAATATGTATGTGCAGTCAAACTGTAGTAATTCTATCTAATAAAACTGAAAAAGGAGAAAAAAATTTAATTCTCAAAAGGCAGATCTAAGACAAATTTAACAGTGTTACTATTCATTAAAAGTGAAAGGATTAGTCACGAGTCTCATTATTTTCTGCTCTTTTCTGTATGTTGGAAATATTCATTAAGTTAAATAATAATGCAAAGTATAATAGGAAAATAATAATGGGAAAATGCTATAATACTAACGATAGGAACTTTGCTTCTGAACTAGTCCCCTCTTCAAAAAATAATAGAAAAGATCTGCAGCCCAAAATTAAGATACCTGTATGTCTTCAATTCTAAGACAAAAAGGCAAAGATCAAAGGGGAACGAGATTAACAGCTCTCATATTCCAAGTGTACACTTATCTATTTTCAGTACAGTATGCCCCCACACACCTCTTAAGTGTACCTGTAGTGCAACAGTCCAGAAAGTCTCTCTTTTACCACCACTAGGGGAAAAAAAGTCTAGTATTCTCTTAAGGTAGAAAAGGGAGACTCATTTGCTGTGAGTTGTACAGGAAAAGATCACAGACTTCAACTGCTTCCTGTTTTCAGCCTTTACTACATGAGGTACCTCATGCTCCCAATTCCAAGGCCTTTGTTCCACAATATATATAGACTTGGTTCTTAGCTATTGCCCACTGCTGGCTCAGTATTCAGCCTTCTCAGATCTCCTAATCTATTACTTTTCATCCATCTGCTCTACAGCTTACAAAATACTGCTGCCATTGTCTCCTCTCCCATTCTTTTGCCTTTTTAAAGTCCTTTACTCTATTTTCAAAGGAAGGTAACTGTGTATGTTCAGTCTATCACAGAGAAGTTTCTTTATATCATTTATCACTGTGAAAATATTTACTTACTTTATTTAGTTTATCTCCTCACCTATGCTACCCTATACCCACCCCCCACACATAGTAGAATCCTGTCTTTCCCACTGCGCTTAACACAACATCTAGCACACAGTGGATGCTAATAGAAAAACTATGTTTAAAACCATAGGAGAGTTGGCAACAATTTTGGGGATATAATGCCTAAAAGTAATAAAGTAAAAACTAAACAAGTGTGACTATATAAAATTTAAAAGCTTCTGCGTAACAAAAGAAACCATCAACAAAATGTAAAAGCAACCAACAGAATGGGATAAAATATCTGCAGATCAAATCATATATCTGATGCTAATGTTCAAAATACTGTATGTAAAGAATTCATATAATTCAATGGCAAAAAACTCCAAATAATCCAATTAAAAAATGGGCAAAGGACCTGAATAGACATCTTTCCAATGAAGATATTCAAATAGTCAATAGGTACATGGAAAGGTGTTCAACATCACAAATCATTAGGGAAGCGCAAATCAAACTACAATGAGTTATCGCCTCACACTTGCTAGGATGGTTATTATCAGAGAGAAAAGATGACAAATGCTGGTGAGGATGTGGAGAAAAGGGAACCCTTACGCACTTTTGGCGGGAATGTAAATTGGTACAGCCACCATAAAAATCATAATGAAGGTTCCTCAAAAAATTAATATAAAACTACCATGTGGGTCAACAATCCCACTTTGGGATATAAATCCAAAGGAAACTAAATCACCATGCTGCAGAGCTATCTGCACCCTCATGTTTAATGCAGTACTATTTACAATTGCCAAGACATGCTAACACTCTAAGTGCCCATCAATGAATAAACGGATCCAGGTGTTGTATATTTATAATGGAACACTATTCAGCCATAAAAAATAAGGAAATCCTGCCATTTGCAACAACATGAATAGACCTTGAAATCAAGCATTATGCTTAATAAAATAAGTCAGAAAGAGAGACAAGTATTGTACGACCTCACTTATATGTGGAATCTTAAAAGAAAAAAATAAAGAGCCAAAAAAACAAAACACCAAGTTCACAGAAACAGATCAAATTTGTGGTTACCAGAAGCAGGGGATGGGGGAAGTGAATGCAGGTGGTCAAAAGCTACAAACTTCATTACAAGATAAGTATTGAGGAGGACGTAACATACAACATGATGACTACTGTTAACTCTACTGGATGGTGTTATTTGAAAGTTGCTAAGAGAGTAAATCCTCAAAGTTCTCATCACAGGGGAAAAAACTTTTTCTTTTTTTTCCTTTTTCCTTGTATCTACATGAGATGATGGGTGTAATCTAAATCTATTATGGTAATCATTTCACGATATATGTGTCAAATCATTATGCTGTACACCTTAAACTTATACAGTGCTGTATGTCAATTATCTCAATAAAACTGAAAGAACAATAAAGACAAAGCCCCCCCCAAAAAAACACAGGAGAAATTCCTACCAACTCTGCCCCCGAAAAAGACACAGTATGGGAGACTCGTGTTGGTCAGTTCAACCGCACCTCCTCCTTTCCCCTATAAGACTCCCATTCTATTAGCTGGTATCCAGGTCCAAGCTATGTTAATCAGAATCTATCCACAGAATTTTTCAAAATCAAGTTGGAAAGCTCCTTTTCTGCTTTTATCAAAAAAACACAAATATAAATTAGGAAGTACAGGTGTCCACGTTATCCACCATGTAATAAAAATCTAAGAAAAGAAAGTCAGACCTGCCTCAAAGAAACCGCCACAAGTACAAAAGAAAACCTCCCGACAACACTCAAGTGCCTGCATCCCCTCCGTCTAGTCTAGTCCTTAGAGAAGTCATGGTCCCAGTCTTCCCAACATCTGGTTGTGAAGCTCTTCGTTTTATGTGTGCAACCTACCCACTCCCTTATTCTGTCACTTTATACCCGCTTTTTGCTTAAGCTAGGTCAGGGTGGGTATTTGCTTACGCTAAGGTGTACATCACTTATAATGGAGCCTATTCAATTCCCGGCTAATACATGCAAATTCACGTTTTACATTTTTTACATTTATTTGCCGGAACGTAATTTTACATTTATTTAGATTGCATTACATGAAACAGGATAACGGCTCCAGTTCCCATCTTTCTAAATGCCCTTAGTTAAGCCACAGACTGCTGCTGCTGCCAGCGGACACCTGCTGGAAGGATTTTATGCAGATAAAAATAATCTCTATTTTCTCCTCCAAATCCCATATGTGAAGAGGGGAAGAAACAGCAAAGAAGATATTCTTTGGAAGAAAAATGACCAATATAATTGTTCCCTATTAAAATGAAACTGTACTTTCTCATGATCTAAACATTCAACTTTTGTTAATACAAACTGGCCATTGCAAGTAAGTTGTATTGTTAAGAAATTTGTTCTTTCTTTGAATTGAAAAAGGGGAATCTGTTACAAGTGATATCCTGCAGATGTTTCTTGCTAAATAAATCTGGATGGACTGAATGACATTGCCCTATTATTTTTTAAACATTGCTAGATCTTTTCCAATGCAACTGAAAGAGCACCATTTAAAACAATTTTTTAAAGTTCAGCTGCCACTTACTGCTTCCAGTTGTTTCTTCTTCTGCACTAGTAACTCCAACATAAGGTTGACATTAGCCAAATCAAGGTTATCTTGGTCGGTTCCCAACAAATCCTGAAATACTTGCCACCTGTGGCCATTCTAAGAAAAGAAGATACACAACTTCCTAAGAAGATTGTTTTAGAGAGTCAAAAACAAATGTTTGCTACTTCCTAACATGTTTATTATATAACATATCAAAAATAAACTACAATGTTCCAACCTACTCCTTCCCAGCTAGTGGCTCCCCAGCGCCTTCTAATTATAATTTAAACACTATTTCTCCCTTAAATGAATTTAAATAACAGATATGAAAGACATTTTCAAGATAAATGTTAAGTCAGCATTTCTAAAGGTGCAATCCCCTTCAAAATAAATGCCTGGATTTTAACTACTTGTCTAGCCATATTTTCAACTTTGTATTTGGTAAGGTATTAATTTAAGCTCACTTGCCTCAATAATTTGGGGCTAATCCTCTTAAACTGAGAATCTTTCAACATTTTTTTTGCAAAGTACCACCCACAGTATCACCCTGCCATATAATTCTTCAAATGCTACATATTACAAGCCAACTCTGACTCAATGTAATCCCACCAAACCTTTCAAAAGATGAAAGTAAACTTCAGAAAATGCAGGTAAGAAAGTTCATTGAATAGAAGAATATCCTTAAAAAAATCAATAATATGCTAAGCTTTAACATCTAATTAATATTAAACTAATAAAAACAGTCAGTTGAACTTTATTAAAAATAGTAATAAGAGTTGAAACATACGGTGCTACTCACTGAGTGGTCCAATTTGAATCTCTTTTCCTCAAACCTTTGCTTCTGTTTGAGAATGAGTTCATTCACTGAAAAGAGAAAGCAAAAAGCACACATAATCTGTGTTTTTATTAAATGTGTCATCTAATTATTCTCTTTAAATGGATCCTATTTAATTTTAAAAAGTCTCAAATTTCAAAAGATGCTAAACAGAAAATGCTAGGTTTCTATTTCAAATTAGAAACAGTTTTGCCACAGCTACTCCTACTACGACTACTACTATCATTGCTACTACAGAAGGAGCATTCTTCAGAATATGTACTTTCTCTTAACACATCTCAGTGATGGCACTCTTCGCACTTAGAGAGAGAGAGCTCTTCACTGTATGAGACTGTTCCATGCTCTGCATGGTAGCTGGCTGATTCTATGAGGTAGGCACTGAAGATTTTTACTTGTTCATCTTTTCGTTTGTGACTTTTCTATAAACATCATGGCAAACCATCATAATCTTTTTTTAAAAACAAGAACCTGATTTTTGTTCCCCCAGTGCCACATACTTTCAGAGTCTTGATCCCTCCCCAGCCCCAAGGTATAGTGCTTGACTAACCTAAGCCAGTCTAGCCATACACCCTGCTAACGTTAACTACGTGACCTAGTTTTTACAAATGAGGGGTATGCTGCCTTTCAGAAAGAGAAAGACAGGAGAAAACTAAGTTCTTTCTCTGCCTTCGTTAAGGGGTGATTATCTGGTCCTGCTTAGAGCCACCATGCAATCTTGAGGGGACCAGCCAAAAAATGAACACAGAGGCTGGGGATGGAGGAACAGAGAGCAGATGGAAAGAACTTAATCATATCACTGAACTGCCAAATTAACTAATTCTAGAAATTCTTTTTGTGTGAATCAAGACATTCTCCTTAATGTTTAAGCCACTTTTAATTGGATTTTTCTGTCTATAACACACAACTGATAAAAATAAAACTGATAAAGAAAAGGGCAACTAGCACTAAGCTAGTTTAATTTACTTGCCTTTAATTTAATTTACAGAAATTATCCTATGGGTTATTATCTGCATTTTAGAGATGAGGAAATTTTAGAAAGAGCATAAGGAACTTACTCATAATGATGCAATACAAGACAGAGCTAGGATACAAACCCAA